GTCTATGATGACCGATGCCTTAAAATTTATTCACACATTACACTGTTGTAGCACCATATGTCATCTATATTTGCACAGTTCAGCTTGCAGAGGTTTGTCATTTAATAGATAATTGTGACACAAGCACAGATGGTCATTCACCATGTACTTAAACTGAAATAAAACTATTTTTGATAAGTAATCAAATTTTGCCGCTTAAAATTCTTACAAGCATTTGCATTTTATATTCGACAATTTGGTAATTATTATTACAAAGTGAATGTCGTGAAATAATTTATTCAACAACCTACACGTCATGATATTACTTTTAACTAAAACTAAATCAAAGAAACTAAACTATTGTTTGTGCTAAATATATATATAAAGCAGTATTACTGTAAGCTTAATTGAAAACAAAACAATAAAGATAAGCAAATCATATACAAAGCAAAATAATAGTCCTACTATATACTAAAATCATTTCTCCATCCCTAACTTAATTATCACAAACGCTTTGAGAGCTAAAAACTAGTGGTGACCCACATTTTTTTTACTCTGGCTACGTCCCTGGACAGAACCACAAAATTAAATTACAAACTCGAAATACAAATTAAATTCAAGAATATATATATATATATATATATATAATAGTTAAGAAATTCAGCAGTAGATACGAGCAGCTAATGTTGGTTGTTCACCTGTCAATCTCACAGATGTGGCATTTCGAAGGATCCCTCTCTAGAATTGAGCCCTAATTTGTAGTTTCCTGTTAAATACTTACTGTACGATCAACAGTTTTGAAGGCAGACACTTAAAAGATGCATTACTATTTGTTATTTGATTTAATTTAATCTAAAAAATACATCCACGATTGGTTAGGCTGAAGGTCTTTATATCGATTAGGCAGTTCACTGCATTTTTATAGAGAGCACAATAGATTGTCAGGCAATTTACAAAACCTATGGCTCTATTGACAAGTCAAGTTAAAATGTGATGGGTGTTTTGTTGCCAGAAAGTCAGGACTTCAGTCAGTAACATAGGGTTTAAGTTGTATCTGAATGTAGTATGGACTTGGTGAGAATAGGTCTATACATGTATTTTTCTTGATGGACCTAGTACAATTCACTTTATATGATCAGTGATTGAGACTTTTGTATTTCGGGCAGGGAATATGCAGTCACCGCAGTACCAGCTCTGGCCAACGAACATCTTAGGAATGTGATGTTTGCCACCAGTGTCTGGTAGATTTAGCAGAGTCTGGAAACACTGGGAAAGTGAAGACTGATACTTATGTTTGTAACTGAAACTGACCCTAATTTTTAGGGCCAAACAATACACCAAGTTGCTTACTGACATAAGTTAAACCTAATGCAAAAAAATTAAAATTACATGTTATTTCACAGTTAAATGAGGAGTTATAGAAAGTATATAATAAACCAACATCTGACTTCTCAACAATAGCCAATCTCTTGACGTAAGACTATATGATATGATACTATTACCATTAAAATTAACCTGCTCATCTTTCTCTGATTCCTGAAATATTCAGTTCTCCAGAAGCTCATTGCTGATGTAGAGTTTAAGACCGATGATCGATTTCCAGAATTTTATTTAATAACTTCAGCTGTCCTGGCTGTGTATCTCGTGAGTTTCACAAAGTCTGTTCTACAAACATTTTGCTATAATTCAGCAAGATAGATCAAGTGGTTATTACAAAATGCCCGAACAATATCACCCAATAGCTCAGAAAGTAATAAAATCACAATGCCCTTTCAGCTATTGCTCTAACAATTAACCAACTGTCCTAATTGTGCAATAACTAAGTGGTCATCACACGATATCCTGTTGGCAACTTGCTGCAAACCACCACTCAATAACTGAGGAAACAAGGAATGCCACTTCCTTTCTGTCATTGATATCTAAATCAACTGACCTTTATAACTGATGATCGATGTAATGATTAGGAGATCATTCTCAATGTTTCAGTCGATCACCAAAACAAATTGTCTACTCCTCCACTGGAATTTTCTCGTGACTTGTCACAAACTGCCAGATATATGTTATCAACCTCCAGAGATAGGATTAAATGATACAGTACTCTCATTATCAGAGTGAACCTGCTCATTTGCTTCTGATTCCTGGAATAATAACGAGTTCTTCAGAGCTCTTTGGTGACGTAGAGTTTAAGCTTGTCAATGTTTTTGATGTGAATCATGCGACTGCTGTAACCATAATTCATCTCATTGAGCATCAACAGAACCAAGTTGCTTACATCATGCTGCTGTATTCAATAACCAAACCCAGTCACCAGGATCGAGGGTTTGTTCTGCTACTTTTTTATCATAATATTTTTTCATGCGTAGCTGCTTTATCTATTTCCTGATTGCAAATTCATGAACATCAACTACTAAAGAATGCAGCCATTCCACATGTTTCTGAGGAGAGAGCTATATTACAAGGCCACTGGGAGCTGTACTACTAATCCAAACATCAGGATATTTGGAGAACATTAGGCTAATTTTTCTTGGTTGAACAGTACGCTGTCATGACATGTGGTAGGTATTTAATCCTTTGAGTTTAGTGAACCTAACAAACTTAGCAAGCATATGTTTGACAGTTTATACTGCTCATTTAGCTGAATCTTCAGATGGGATGATATAGTGAAGTGCAAATTTTCACTACACCTAACACTTGGCCAATAAGTGGCTATTCAAGTTAACCTTTTGATCTGTGTGAATATCTTCAGGTGCTCCAAAGTGTGAAATTAATTATTCAGTCAAAATATCTGTGACAAACTATACTAACATGTCAATCACCACCTAAGTTTCAGCCCAATTAATCATTCATTACCAGAATACATCAATTACTATTCTCAGTTTTGGGCAGAAGACCAACTGTACATAGGGATATTCTTTCGATAGCAGGACCTACAACTCTGATGGAGTTTTCCATGATACAACCGGATTTTTTGTACATGTGATACAGTGTCTACACCATCACTCAATATCTTATGCAAATGTGGCAAAAAAACAAAAACACTTTTGCATGTTCACAACAGATTATCGAGTCAACCAATAATGTGGTGATAATTTTATTTTTCAATGGAATCCACAAATGATTGGCCATGAATTTCAAAGATAGCATTTGCATAACATTCCATGATGTCTTTCAGTTCTTGCGTGAAGCAAAGTCTGAAGTATATCCTGTCTTAGAGCTCTGCGTTATACGTTGGTTATCACGTCTCAGCTGTTCATAATGATGGTACCACACAACATCTTGTACTCGTAACTGACTATACAAGTGACAGACATCGAGTAGAACGTTATACATTTGCCAGCATGTAATGGTCATGCTTTACATGTTGCACGGAAAGAAATGCTGTAGCTATGTCTGGGTCATTTAGTTGTTATCTTTGAAATTCATGGCCAATCATTTGTGGATTTCATTCAAAAGTAAAATTATCACCACATTACTGGTTGACTCGATAATCTGTAAACATATCTGTGACATTAACTCGGTCAGTGTTGTAAAATGAAGCTGTACTCTTGCAGTATCATTACCTAATGTACAATCATACTATGTTACTAAGTATCCCCACTTCCATGAACATGATCACACATCTTCCTGGTTTTAATTTAAATCCTGCATTCTTGATGCACTAGAATACCATTCTCTGTTCTAGCATTGGCTTGGAACACGTGTTCAAAGGCCATCGTAAGTTCCATCAAACTGTCAAAAGTGATAAGCATACTAAACAAACTGAATGGCATGCAAAATTAATAACATCTTTCATGAGTACTGAAAGCAGTCTTAAGTTTACTCTTGTTATCCAGTCGAATTTTCCAGTACTCAGATGGCAGATCTTGTGTACTGAATCAATGGGTACTTTCCATTGCATCGATATATTCACATGTGTTCAATAAAGAACATGCATTGATGTGTTACTGCATTCACCTATCTTATAACCAAAGCAGACAGTAGCAATACACTAGGATGTGTCTATAATACATCATTTAATACCACTTGTACATTTGGCAGTATGCATACATGTTTATAAATATGCACAGATACATTCTACTTCCATAGGCCCAATCTCATCAGCACTGGATGATATTGACATGGAGGTGTAGTTTAGATATTGAGCAAGCAAAACTGATAGACAATTTTTACAGAAAGTTCATTCATAAGATACAAAAGCCTGAACCCAGCTCAGAGAAAATACCTTTGTTCAGAGCTACATTGCCAAGAAAAAAGCCAGAGATGTACTTCGCTCATCTCTACATTTTTTCATTTGTCAAAATAAAGTTTTGCTTACTGGCCAAATTGGTGGCTTTCCAAAGTCAAGTAAGGTTTTAAAGTGGCTGCAGCTGCTCACCAACCTTTCTGAATCTATTGTAACATCAGTTTGAAAAAACGTCTAGTGGTCCTGCCTGGTGACAGGATATGAACATTCATGAATAACTAGGTATGGCAGAACTGAAGCAGAGACTCCTTCTACTACTTGTCACCTTCTGGAATTTACTCAGCAATTGTGTTGCAGTTGTGGCAAGGGCCTTGTAAATGTTTGCCCCATAGAAAAACTCCAATGACTTTGGCACCTGCTGCATTGTAACTGGTGGAGTTGGGCAATGAACAGTTTTGCCATTCATCGTGGTCATCACGACACTAGAGACTGTCTCGCAGCTGAATCTGTAACTGCAGTTACCATTTGCTACTGGTTTGAATTTTTTGCTTCAGTATGTGGTTTAACAAACGAGATTTAGACCAGTAAAACTGCTTCTGTGAGAGATAAAATGGTGCTGCAAGGGTTTTCTTAGCAGCTCCTCTATAAACTTGATGAGTATCTCATCAAAAAGGAGACATAGTCAATAATACTTTCCAATGCAATCCTCTTAAATCAGCTGCATATGTGGTCAAGTTTCACGTGGCATGTGCTTCCAAGCTTTGAACTTACCCCTGTGGATTGCTCGGTTCCTCAGAGGGTAAAAGTATGGTGCAAGCCATCGAGTACTGTGTCCCAGTCAATGAGTTTCTCCTTAGCCAATTGTTTTAAGGTGTTGCGTGCAAGGATCATATAAACTAAGCATCACGTACTGTACTGCCTGTCCATGAATCCAAATATTCAAAGCAATGGCTTTTTGAAACACTTGAGGAAATGTTCAAAATTTTCCTTAGCTATCCCCTTGAGCATTTGTGGGTTTCCTGTTTTATATAACCTCCATGATTAAATGATAATGCATATAGTTATCTCCCACCAGCTGCTCTATTGGTGTGCAGCTGACAGGTTGTGTACATTCAAGTAAGATTTCTATATTCTACAAGTCCAGAGATGAGCACATCCTGATGAATGTAGCATCTTCAAGAAAAGTCTCGTGCAGAATGGCATGCTGCTAAGGGATGTGCATCATCATAATGATGCAATGCATAGTAGTATAAGTCATTATCTGATTCTGCATCGACTTCAGCTGCCAAATATGGATGCAGGGCATCATAAGTATGTCTTTCCAGCTGGGAAGATTCCTGACTATATCTATTGGATTGCAGTGAGACACTAAACATTCCACTTGATAGCATCCTGACATTTAATATGTTAAACACATCTTGCTACTCTCCTTGGCTATGGATGACTCAAACTAGTGCCTTAATCCTTTCAGCATGGGCTCGGTCCTTCAGACCAACCTCGTAACCATTTTGTGCTTTTTATAGTTTTCATGCTATAACCTTTAAATTAGTAAGCGTGTGTTAACGAAATTTGGCAGATTATCAGTTAACATTACAATGCTTTCATACGCAAAATATCATTTTTTTATTAATTCTTAAGGTTTGTTAAGCAATGTTTTTCTCATACTTTTTTTTCTATTTTCACATGTTACCTATCCAACATGCAAACTAGTTTTCATTTTAAGATTAAAAATACTTTTATGCATCAGAAAATTTTCAAATTTCATATGCGAAATCTATATAATGTCCAGATAGTTATGAAACGTTTCATAAAGAAAAACTTGATATTTTATCTGTTATTTTCACTAACTAATCTCTACGGGTTCGATAGATTTGACCGATTTCGTAACCAACATAAAAAATTAAGAAATAAACCATATTCAATGATATATAGTTGGCCTTAATCTTTACAAAGTGATCCTGTCTTTGCTGTGTTTTAGTAGACTAGTATTTTGTAAAATACAGTAACATTTCAATTGTTATACATTATATATGTGTATAGATTATTAATATTTAGAAATAAGTTATTAAACTTAATTTTCTTAAAACACAGAAGCAAACAATTATCTCTTCTAGTTTCGACCTTTATACTCAGTTTCTGCTTGGCGTAGGTTTCTAAGTAGAGGATATGAAATAAAATAATTTATCAAGGTTAGTAACTAAGCTGTATTTCGGCCATGTGGTTAGGATGCTCAACTCCCATTCTGAGGGTCGCGGGTTCGAATCTCCATCCCACCAAACATGCTCGTCCTTTCAGTCGTGGGGGTGTTATAATGTGATGGTCAGTCCCGCTATTCATTGGTAAAAGAGTATCCCAAGAGTTGGTGGTGATGACAAGTTTCCTTACCTCTAGTAATAGCTAGTGCAGATAGCCCCCGTGTAGCTTTGCACGAAATTCTAAACAAAGCTGTATTTCGATCTAAAAAAATATGAAATATGAAGCAGACTGAATACACAACCTACCTGCGTCAAATCTTGGTTTTAAAGAAAGAGAGGGCTTCCCAACATTTTATAATGGCTGAGAAAACCACTAGGGGGACATTCTAAGTTGTTAATTGGTTATTCACAAGTCATATATATTGATAAAACTGTATATAAGGGACCGTTTCCAAAAACGAAAAGAGATGAGCTGGGCTACTGTGCTTGATTCAGTACCTAAGCAATATCTCAGCAAAAAGAAAAGATACGAGGTTCGTATTTTATTAGTAATTTGAGTTCCTAATTCGTTCGAAACTATAGACTTAGTATTTTG